TTATTTGTCTCGGAAATTGATGTTCTGCTGCTTACATCATTTCATGAGAAATGTTTTCAAACCCGGTGTGCAGTGCGTCTATTTTTTACCCCGTTTAATCACGAGGACTAAATTTAAGCTAATCTAAATAGAAATCTGTAGAAAATTGATGATGCGACGGGAAAGGAATCATCATGGTTTTTTATGATTTTGTTATTATGTGCCGTACTCTCGAACGCATACCTTGCTTTTCGTTTTCGAGTTACAAACGCCAAGGCCAAAGCAAGTCGTCGTATAAAATCAGTTTAAAATCTCCTCCTCTCCATTCTCCCTGCCCGATTATCCAACTGCATCCAATCCACAGACAGAAGATGAGGAGGAGATGAACTGTTTTTTTATACGAGTACGGTAATAAAGTAGACAGTTGGAAAAAAGTGTTTGTTCAAAGTGGCCTTCAACAGAAGCAGACCACATCATCGCCGTCCCTCTCGGTTAGTTTGTTGGTTGAATCACTTTTATGTCCTGTTTTTCACTCGGTTTCAAAATACATTTATGCCTCGACACATACATAAATACACACATGGCACAATACGTACGTACGTATGATGAAATTGCATGATCTGCATGGTATGGTTTACAAATAAACTGTTTTAAAATCTAGGCCTCGTACGCACATGTACCCGCACTGAAAATATTTAGGCGAGAGGAGAAGAAAAAAGTCAAAGGCATTCAAGTTAGGAATTTAAGCGTTCAATTCGTCCCTTGAGGGGTCTCTTGGTGAAAAGGATTTTTATCCCATAAAAATGCAATTTCATTTCTACAGTTCTAAGAAGGGCTGTCCGTCCAGGTCGCTTATTTTATTTTATTTTATTTGACTGGTGGGAGATAGTTTGATGTTCCTGGAAAAATAAAAGGCAAAGGGTTCACGTCACAAGGCCTTTCTCCATATGAAGCCTCATTCAGGTCTATTTCGTATTATTGTCGTCTCAATACGAGTAGGTGGATAGTCAAATAAAATAAAAAATGTCAAATGAAGCGTCTCATGAGAATCTAGATTGAAACTCGGCTAATAAGAGGTACAAAAAGTCTATACTATTCTCAAAGTGAATCCAATATATCCACCTATATATGCACTTAGGTAACATATTTACTATGCATACGTACATGTGCATAAATCAACAGCTCTCCAAACATCGAAACTTGTCTGGAAATGGGAAAACAAATATACATACTTTGCTCGTAGAATTCCACGAAATCATCGCGATGAACTACTTTCTCCCGAATTAAATAATCTTCATTTCCTCCTCCCGAAATTTAGGTCGAAGCTCTTCAACTATGCAAAATACTAATAATATTTCTGAACACTCATCTCCTTTCCGAAATGAGATTTCCATTTACAAACGATTCCAGTAAGGAAAAAAGCAACTCAATTTATTCATCCTCATTTACCAAATTAAGGTCGTATGTGCACGTCTCGGATGAGATGAAGTGGGTCGAAATATGACAGACGGGGAGAAAGTACTAATTTCTTCCATACTTGGAAAAGTTCTACTTTCCATCGTGCACTCGTCCCATTGTGACGCAGGATTTGCATTAATGCTCCTTTTATTCGAAATCTATTCTATTTCTCGAGAGGAATAATCCCACAAGAAAGGAGGAAGCAACGGACGAGTGAGTTAGTGAATCCTCCACACACTCCGACATTGAATTTCAAGGTCCAAGGTTGCACGAGCTTTACCTAAGCCTTTCTTTTGCTGGGGGCAATGGCAGAAGGACAAATCCGGTACAAAGATATCTGTAATAGATTCTCGTTAGTGGTGGGTGGTGATGCTTTCTCGGCAACCAACCCACCACCCAACCGCCGTATGTAATTGAAGTGAAGGTCTTTTGATTCATTTGCCTAAATGCACAAGAAAGGAGAGAAGAAAGTTCCAATCGAATGTGGAGTAATCGGGTTGCTTTTGCAGACTTGAGAAGAATGAAAAGTCCATGACAGACAGACCGAGGAGAGAATAGAGGTGACTCGTAAATGGCAAAGTTTCGAGTTTCCTTTTATGAAAGTTGTTTGTTGTTTTACTCCTGTTCAGTAGGAGGAAGGAAAACGGAAATGTCAATGCTAAATATAAAAGCAAATATAGGTAAATCAAGGCCACCCACAAATTAAATTTTCAAAAGATCAGAAAATCATTTATGTATGATGCAGTGGTGCAATACCATGGGAGGATTATTTATCTAGTATAATTTTATACAAAGTGTGAATGTTGTGTAAATGTGAATTTCGTAATGTAGGTAAATTAAGTTATTACAGAGGAAATGGCATGTACACTTAAATAAACAGATAAAATTCTCATTATGATTTTGGTCAGCTAATTAAACGTATGCTTAGCAAGAATTAATTATATTACGGAATCATACAGTTTATTTTCTTAAACATGATGTTCAACCATATTTGTAGACTACAAATTGTAGTACAAATTTTGTACAGTGAGTTACTTAATTTGTGTGTGCGAATTAACGAATACATATATACGAATTGGAAGTAACAATTAAATCAAGTGTTAACAGCAACAATTAATTAATTGAAGCGACTCAACATCAAAGTTTACATTTTAATTCGATGTCTTACACTATCACGGCAATTTAGACAAGGCAGACTTATTATTGTACATATGTAGTACAAAGTAAGTTCCAATTATAAAACTGATGGACACAAATTTTCAAAATCGACTGACATACTTTCACATTTTAACAAGCACAGAAATTACGTTTCTTGTTAAAAGAGTCCATATTGGAATACTGATAGCTCCTTCGACTTCAGACGGATAAGCTAAAATTGACTGGATTGGAAAATACCAAGTTTTGGGGACAACAAAAACGGGCGTAGATGTTCCGACAAAGCCCAATAATGATAAGTAAATAATGGCGACAAGCCCTGACAAAATTCCCATCGTCCACCTGTATATTTTGGTTTGGATGGATTTTCTACAGTCACCTATATTTAATAAACAGAGTTGTATATATACATATTAAGAACAATTCTGTATTATTATTCAGGTTTATGGTAATAAATATGTAGTTATGTACCACTAGATTCCAAATCGAGTGTAAGTTGGTTTAACTTTCTCTGTAGTTTTGCATATTTTGCAAATTCGTCCACCATCGACATAGCCCCCATCTCTTTCCTGATTTGTATGATTTCTCGCACCTGATCTGCCTCTTTGGACGTTAATCTATAAAATCTGGTAGAGATCTGTAAATAAATGATAAAAAAATTAAGCCAACAATCTATAGACTATTTAAACATACCAGAGTAATTAAATAACTAGTCCTTACCCAAGTCGACAATTTTGGAATAAACTTGGTTATCAAGATAAGTATGGGAATAAGTAGTACGAGAAATATGTCGTACTCAACTTTACTCTGTTTAATAATGGACATTTTATCAATTAAAATATTAAAACTTTGAATTAATTTTAAATTAAAGTAATCAACTCTTTTACGGTCGTCGTGATAATTTTATTATAACATCTAAATGACTAGAACTTAATGACTTTCAGATAAACTTTAACACGATATCTCCAATATTTAAACAGTAATTAAAATTAAGAAACTTGATAAGATTTTTAGAAAATATTATGAAAAGTTATAAAATTTACTAGTTTGAGCTCACTCGCGCCACACGCAAGGTGAGACGGGGCAAATGAAACAGGAAGTTGAATTGCTTTCTCCTCCTTTCTCGTTATTTTGCAAATTTGTTTTTTTAGAAAGCTTGAATACATATTTTTATTCATCATTTTTGGTATTTCTTAGACATCTATAATTTCATTTATATTTCAGTGATTTCAGCTCATTACTTGAAGATCACTACGTAAATTCATTGGAGAAAGTCAAGTGAGATATTTGTAGCTTACTGGTGACAGTTAAAAATACAAACACAAAAATTACCAGCTTGAAACGAAAATCTAGTTAATCATTGCACATTCTCCTTGAAATGATTTATTGCAATTTTACTGCGCAAAAACCAGACACGATACAGATAGAAGCGATCACGACGAACGGACGGCCATGACCATGAACTCGTTTAGTTTTTTTCGATGAGATTAAATTAGTTCACAACTTGAATTATTGTCTTCTTCCTCCGAGAGAGAACAGATAAAGTAGAAAAAAGCATGATCTTGAACGTCTTTACATAACATGCTTAAAAATCCAAGTCAAGGAACTTTCTCCTTCATTAATTTGTATACGTGACACAAAGTCTGACATTTATCTTGCTATAAATCAGCTTAAATTGACATATTTGCATGTTTATCCGAAAACGATGTAATTGCGAAAGCCTGCTGAGTGACGGAAGTGATGATTAGATGAGATGAATGACGCCCACGGCTGATAGATATTTACAAGGACACGGTACACTAAAACTGTTTAAAATGAGACAAGCCGAGTAAACCAAGATCACGAAATTCTGTAAAAGTTGCAAACAAATCATTCGCAATTTATCATACGGCTGGAGCGCAAACATTTTTGCACCAGTTGCATAAACACATAGCTTGGATTTCACAACTACGGAGATTATATATTCTCTTAGATGAATCGGATTCAGTGGGGTGATGACGATATTATTATTCGCAATATCAAGTCGAGTGAGACCAGAGGAGAAGAGAAGACGAGCTTTAAAAAACGGTGAAAAGTGCCAAAGTCACTTTATTTTTAGAGAACATTCCCATGAACTCTGAGAATGCCGTCATGCCATGCTTATGCTCATATTATTACCACCAACTAACTAACTATACGAGCATGCCTACATACAATACCCCCAAGATTCGCAAGCATAACATTTAATTATTATTCCCCTCTTTATAACACTTTCCGTACCCCGTGGTGGTACATAGTAGTAACATAGTTCTTTTTTCTTATTAAGAACGGGATCACGATATATACCGATTTCTTCTACACATACACACTTTGCATGGTTTTTCAACCCACTCCACTTATTTTATCCCATGAAATCTTCTGGTAAAAAGTCCACCGACACAGTTCCAAACTCATTCAGTGTCGTTTAATCAGTTCCTTCTTGTGGTGGGTGCGGAAGGTTGTTTTGTCGTTCAGACTGTTGAATTGAAAGTGAATGTGGAACACAGACAGAGAAAAAAATTAATTACTACATACATACTTTCAGTTCAATAGTTTATTCAGCCTTCCTAATTAAAATTAAATTGATTACAAATATTTAAGTGAAAGTTTAAAAAAACACAATTTGTTTCCTAAAAATGTACACGAGAAGGTTCGGCACAGGGACTACGAAGGAAGACCTCAGGGAGATCGTGAAGGAGGGTTGGTGTCCACCAAGAAATTCGTACGATGAGGTGTATCCCGGAATTTTGCTTGGAGATGCGTAAGTTTCGTCACTTCTTTGTAAATACATACATCGGATTTTGTTTTATGTGAAATACATACATTTATGCATTTCCTTATGTATTACTCGATTTTTTTGCCTAATTTTACCACCTCTTTCTTAAATAGAACAACAGCTTTAAGTGTGCGGAGGTTGGTCAGTGAAGGAGTCACACACATCCTTAATGCAGCAATGGCGTGTTCAGATTGCGAATCTAAGGACATTTGCGGAACTTGCGTATGTACCATAAATATACAACGAATAGGTAATCATATGCATAATAATACATGCAAATGCATGCAAATTTCCATGCAGGTGCTCACCAAGCCCTCATACTACAGCCATTCCGGCATCCAATTTAAGGGTGTACAAGCCCACGACGAAAAGAGATTTCCAATCTACAGGAATTTCGAGGAGAGTACAAAATTCATTGACGATGCTTTAAAGAAAGGAGGGATCGTCTATGTCCACTGCCAGCAAGGAATCAGTCGCTCTGCCACATTGATAATCGCTTATCTTATGATGAAGAAGTCTATGTCTGCCAAGGAAGCAGTGAGAACCGTCAGGTATACACTAAAAAGTTGCTTCTGTTAACCATTCATGGATACGCGTGACATGTGTCGGAAGCTTGAATACGCTCTATTTATTTCCATACACATGACAGATATCCAATTAATTGTTTGTTGGATAAATTCCAAAAAGTGTATTTTTTCTTTTCTTTTTTTCAGAAAACGCAGGCCGATTTTTCCTAATGATGGGTTCTTCGAGCAATTGTGTGATCTAGAATTGCGTTATAGAAATCACCGTGTCTATGCTTAAAATGCAGTAATGTCGCAAATTGCACATGTTATATAAATCAGCCAAGAATTGTCCTAGCATGCTTTATAAACGCAAATCTCTCATTTCCTGTTGCGTCATTGACACCAAAATCTTGGCCATTATTCTTGTTGTTATTTTTGAGATAAATAAAAGCTATTTTTAACTTTGAATGCCTCAAGTGACCTTACATTGTCTGTCTGGAAGATAAGCATATATTTTTTTACTAAACTTGAGACCATAATAATTGTTACATAATTAAGTTGTTGTTTAATAACCTGTAATTAAATCTACATAAAATATGAACTTTATTTTATTAAGAAGGTCGCATAAATAACAAACATAAATCATTAATCATATCCGGTTCACAATATCTAATTGCACAAAATAAACATACGTAAATGAGTCATTATTCTAAATATAAATATTAATGCAACTAGAAACACCTGAAAAAATTGATGATCAACATCCAGCTTATTCGTAAATTGCGTCGTAGACCAATTTGAAATACCATCCCAAATCGAAAGCTCCAACATTATTATACAACATGATAACAGGTAATCCATGCCAATTTCTAATCCTCCACGCGTCAAACGTCATCCGTCAAGGTTTTTCATTTGCCTTGAGTTGAGTTAGTTAGATAACTAACTACTAGAAGATTACATAGTATACTACGACGCACAAAACAAGTGAAAAACAAATCTAAGATAGGATTACTACTATTAGAATTTATGCTAATTAATAATAGTGCAATACGGATTGTGTCATACTCCACGAGTTCAGGCAAAATAATGCCAAAATTGCATAACAATTTTACAAACTAATCTTGACTAACGTTATGAAAAGTTGTTCAATGTGTAGACTAAATATTCCAGGTTTATAATAACCAGTTCCAGAACTTTTTATTTGTCCGACTTCCACGCCA